ATATTTAAGAGCTGGGAGGAAGCTCTGTCAATCAATGTGGCTAAGTCAGCGGTGTGCTTCTGTAAGAATTAGCAGGCTGTGGGGTTCCCCAAAGAATTCCTCCAGCCTGGGGGTAAGGCTGTGGGCCACTGACATCCTGGGAGCTGAGTGGGAAAGAGGGCTAGTGTGAGGTGGGGGGAGGTGGGTGTCCCAGCCTTCCATGTGAATTTGCCTTTAAAGTTTTCCAGTTTTCAGTTGGGTAGCCCTGCCCACGGCTGGGCTTGGCGTTCCCCAATTCAGAGACTGTCTATTTTACCTTCTTCTGGAGAAAAGGCTTACAGGTTCCTGCCGGGGTAGGGGAAGGACCGGCACTCTTAGCTGCTTCTTAAATTTTCTTTCTTTCTTTCATTTTTTCCTTTGAGATGGAGTTTGACTCTATCGCCCAGGCTGGAGTGCAGTGGCATGATTTTGGCTCACTCTAACCTCCACCTCCCAGGTTGAAGCGATTCTCCTGCCTCAGTCTCCTGAGTAGCTGGGATTACAGGCATGTGCCACCACACCCAGCTAATTTTTGTATATATATATATTTTTTTAGCAGAGATGGGGTTTCACCACGTTTGCCAGGCTGGTCTTATACTCCTGACTCAAGTGATCTGCCCACCTCAGTCTCCCAAAGTATTGGGATTACGGGCATGAGCCACCATGCCTGGCCGCCTTCCCCTTTTTAATTAAGACATGGCTGAGGCTGGGCACGGTGGCTCAAGCCTGTAATCCCAGCACTTTGGGAGGCTGAGACGGGTGGATTATGAGGTCAGGAGACCGAGACCATCCTGGCTAACATGGTGAAACCCCGTCTCTACTAAAAAATACAAAAAAAAAAAAAAAAAAAGCCGGGCAAGGTGGCGGGCGCCTGTAGTCCCAGCTACTCAGGAGGCTGAGGCAGGAGAATGACGTAAATCCGGGAGGCGAGCTTGCAGGGAGCTGAGATCCAGCCACTGCACTCCAGCCTGGGTGACAGAGCGAGACTCTGTCTCTTAAAAAAAAAAAAAAAAAAAAAAAAGGATTATGGCTGAGCGTGGGGACTCACACCTCACAACTGTAATCCCAGTACTTTGGGAGGCCAAGGTGGGTGGATCACCTGAGGTCAGGAGTTGGAGCCCAGCCTGGCCAACATGGTGAAAACCCATTTCTACTAAAACTACAAAAATCAGCCAGGGGTGGTGGCGGGCACCTGTAATCCCAGTTACTCTGGAGGCTGAGGCAGGAGAATCCCTTGAACCCGGGGGTACGGAGGTTGCAGTGAGCCAAGATCGCACCACTGCATTCCAGCCTGGGCGACAGAGAGACTGTCTCAAAAAATACACACACACACACACACACACACACACACACACACACACATATCTCGTGAGCAGTATTGCCTGTGCATAGGCATTCACTAAGCTTCTGTCCTGTGGTGAGCACCGCTGGAGGAAGTGTGGGAAAGGAGGGAGCTCCTCCTTCCTCTGGGATATGCAGCAAGGACCATCTGTCTGAGGAGGCTAAGGCCATGCTCTGCGTAGTGATGCATCAAGAGGCTGTAAAAGGACTGAAAGGACAGCCATCACTCGGGAAACTTTTATATTCTCCTACTTGGATGTCGTTCTCATTACCTGGTGAAGGGCAGGATCGGGGTGGCCGAAATACGTGATTCTTAGCTTCTGTTGTGGTTGATTTTAAATGTTTAAGTCTTCTCGCTGCACAAGTGAAATAAAGCCCCAAACTGTTGCCCACCACAGAAACTGACTCAGGCAACACATGCAGTTCCCTGGACCAGTGGGCACTGGGTACTTACAAGTTAGGAGGGACCCCAGGGCACTGCATTCTGGAGCTTATCAACACAGTGGCTAATTAAAATCACAAACATGGCCGGGTGTGGTGGCTCATGCCTGTAATCCCAGCACTTTGGGAGGCCGAGGGGGATGGATCATTTGAGGTCAGGAGTTCGAGACTGGCATGGCCAACATGTTGAAATCCCGTCTCTACTAAAAATAACAAAAATTAGCTGGGTGCCTGTAGTCCCAGCTACTTGGGAGGCTGAGGCATGAAAATAGCTTGAACTCGGAAGGTGGAGTTTGCAGTGAGCTGAGAGTGCACCACTGCACTCCAGCCTGGGAGACAGAGCAGGACTCTGTCTCAATAAATAAATAAATAAATAAAATCACAAACACATTAGATGTGGACATCTGGAGACTTCCTCATCTGGACAGAGACATGCAACTTTCAATAGCAGCTCTACCGTGTGCATTCAATTTCCCATGCATGCTTCTCCACTCCAAAATTACTAACATATTTTCTCTTATAGGTTTCATTTTCAAGCACAAAGATCTCTATTAGTTTTTGTTTGTTTGTTTCTTTTTAGTTTGTTTTTTTGAGACGGAGTCTCGCTCTGTCACCCAGGCTGGAGTGCAGTGGCCGGATCTCAGCTCACTGCAAGCTCCGCCTCCCAGGTTTACACCATTCTCCTGCCTCAGCCTCCTGAGTAGCTGGGACTACAGGCGCCTGCCACCTCGCCCAGCTAGTTTTTTGTATTTTTAGTAGAGATGGGGTTTCACCGTGTTAGCCAGGACGGTCTTGATCTCCTGACCTCGTGATCTGCCTGTCTCGGCCTCCCATAGTGCTGGGATTACAGGCTTGAGCCACCGCACCCGGCCTGTTTGTTTGTTTTTTAAAAAGACAGGGGTCTTGTTATGTTGCCCAGGCTGGTCTCAAACTCCTGGGCTCAAGGGATCATCCTGCCTTGGCCTCCCGATAGGTAGGACTACAAGCTCATGCCACTTCTGGTGTAAAATTTTTTTTTATTTAAAAAAAATATTTTTAGGCCAGGTGCGAGTGGCTCATGCCTCTAATCCCAGCACTTTGGAGGCTGAGGCAAGAGGGTCACTTGTGCCCAGGAGTTCAAGATCAGCCTGGATAACATAGTGAGATTCTGTCTCTACAAATGAACAAAATAACCAGATGTGGTTGTGTATGCCCATATCTCACTATGTTGCCCAGGCTAGAGTGCAGTGGTGCAATCACCACTCACTGCAGCCTCCACCTCCTGGGCTCAAGTGATCCTCCTGCCTCAGCCTCCTGAGTAACTGGGACCACAGCCATGTGCCACCAGTTTATCCAGCTGTGGTTCTTAAAAAAAAAAAAAAAAAAAAAAAGCCATTCTTTTCCTTTCTGATTTGAAATAACATCCTTGTCACAAATTAAACTCACCTGGGTTTAAAAAATACTGCATATTCCCAGACCCCACCCAAGGACCAGAATCTCTGGGAAGGGGACTCCAACCTTATTTGGAATCCAGTGCCTTAGAGACTCGCTACCCAGTCTGCCAAGGACCAGAAGCATCAGCATAACCTGGGAGTGAGACAGAAGTTAAAAGTTTCAGTACCCACCCAGGTCTGCTGAATTCGAAACTGAGTGGAACCCAGCCACGTGTGCCTTCACGAGACCTTTGGGTGACTGCGTTGCTGGCTACCAGTTGAGAATCCCCTATAAAGGCCTGAGTATACAATGGGGTGATTCTGCTGACAGGTCCACAGTGGCTATGGGGACCATGGGGATGATGGATATGTCCTGACAGTCCTGACGGGAGCAGTGATGCAGGCATGGTGTGTAACTCACTTTCTCCAGCTCTGTTTTCCTGTCTGCTGTCAGGAGACTTGCTCATAGATTTGCGTGAATATGACACAAAGATGACGGGCTGGGAAGTGATAGCACTCTTCCACACACCAGAAAGGGCTGAGGGCTCCTCACTTGGAGAGCACTGAAGGTGGGTCCCAGCAGGAGCTTCTCCCATAGCTGCTCCGCTCCCCTCTCTCTTTCTAGGGCTGACCTTGGCAGAGGTCACCCTGTCCCAGGACTGAGGCACTGGCTGTTCTGGAGGCCTTAGGGAAACAGGTGGGTTTCTTTGTTTTCAAGGTTCTGCTGAAGGGGTGGGGCTGCCGGGGGTGGGCAGTGTGTTTGAAAGCTGGCTCTGCTGATGATCCTATTCCCATTCTTCATTGCTGCCGGGATTCCCATTCCCGGAGCACGGAGGCCCCAGCTGCTCAGATCTTCCCGGGTGAGCCCTCAGGATGCTGCAGTGACCCGGCCAGGGCCCTCCGCGGGGAGGCCGATGAATAGTGGAGTCGCACCAGTCCAGAGAGCCAAATGCCACCATGCTTGATGGCCGGGGGCTGCACGAGCCCAGAGGAGCGGCCTGATCAGCGCGGGAAGCCGAGTGGGCTTGCTGCTGCTGGGATGTAAGTCTCAGGTGGGACCTCCTTGTCGCCATCTGGAGTGGAAATCAGAGGCTCCACCTTCCAGCCTCGGCCATCTGATTTCTCAGCATGGTTTCAACGTGGGTGGCCTCGGGCTGGGTTCCAGGCCCACCGCGGGGGGCAACGCCCTCCCACACCAGAATCTCTCCCCTCTAGGGTGAGCTGGGGTACCAGGCTCCAGGATCCCACCATAGGTTCCCACTACATCAACGTTTCTCCTACCTGTTTGTCATAGATCCCCTGAGTGCTTGTTAAACTACAGACTCTCTGACCCTTTCTATGAAGACCTGCTGGGGCCTTGGGGGTCGGACCTGAGAAACGGGCATAACAGGTGCTTCTGTAACTCCTCTCAGTGAAGTGGGAACCCCTAGTTCCTGGGTGCCAGGGAGCTTTAGACCAGTGGGAAAGGGCGGGACTCATGGAGGTCTGCGAGTGAGAAATGCCCTCGTGGACTTGATTACTCCCGCCGACGGTCTCCTATGCCCCTCCCAGGGTGACTCACAGGAGGCTTTCTTGCTCACCCTGTCTGAGTTTCTTGGAAACAGGGCAGAATTTTTTTTTTTTTTTTTTTTTTTTCTGCCAACACTGGGGCCCCACCCTGAGCTGCAGGGATCACAACGAGATTACAACACCTACTTTCTGATGACACCTACAGGGGTGGTTGCGGTCATCTCCCGCCTCTGAGCCCTGCCATAGGAGGTTAAGGCTTGAGTGAGACGCAAGGCGGGACCAAAGCTCCCCCGGCTTGGGAGGAGGGCACTGGCCCGCCGTCTGTGGATCCTTCCAGAAACACTGGCTCTCCTGGAGGGGAGGGGAGGCCTGGGGCAGAAACACTGAAAGAGTTTGTTAGAAAGTGTTTCCCTCTGGGGGTGGGGCGGGCCTGGCGCTCCCCAGCACGTGCGCGCGGTACCTGGAGAAGGTCCTGCTGGGACGCCTTTCCTTCCTGCCGCGCCCCGAGGTTGCCCGGCCGCTCCCTCCCGCGTCAGCGCATTTCCCACGGTTCTGGGGGAGCTGGGGCGGGGCGGGGGCAGCTGCGCCTGCAGGGTGGACGCGGCCTACGGGGCGCCCCCCGGTCCCCCGCCCTGGCTCCCGCCCCCGCGCCCCGGGCCTGGGACACGCGGCCAGCGGGGGGCGCCTGCGGCCGCTCCTCCTTCCCCGCCCGCGGTGAGTGCCGGGCCAGCCCGCGGCCACTGGGGCGGTCACTCGGGCGGCGGTGGAGCGGGAGCGCGCGGCAGGTGAGCGCGGGGCGCAGAGGAGCGCGGCGGGCGGGCCGGGGATGCGCCCGGGGTCGGGGGATGCCCGTGGCCGGTGCCCCGCGCCGCGCGGTCCCCACACAGAGGGGCGGGTGGCCCCTCTCCCGGCCCGCCCTTCCCCGGCCTCGCGGGCGTCCGGCGGTGGCGGCTCCTGCCCGGGTGGGTCGGGAATGCTCCGAGACCCTCCCTCGGGCCACGACCTCCTCCCTTAGGCACGGCCGGCAGGGAGACACTTCCCAGACGCTGCCCCTGCCGGAACCCGCTTTCCGATGACAAGACTGAGACCCGAGGGAGGCCGCCCGGCCCCAGACCCCTGCGGTGGAGCCCGGCTGGCTTAGGGCGCAGAGCAGGGCTGGCTCCGGGCGGCGGGGCCTGTTGGAAGCAAACACTGCACAGGGTAGCAGCCTCTGTGGGCGCAGGACCGGGCTGTGGGTCTGCAGCGCTCCCTCCAGAGCCAGTAGAGAGCAGGACCCCTCCGTGGCCAAAGAGGACCAGGGTCCATGGGAGAGTGAGCCAGGCCCGGCCCTCGCCTCGGATCCCAACCTGGGAACCCAACGCCTTGCACATGAGGAAGTGACAATGGGAGCCGACCCCTGTTGGGAGAGAGAGGCTGGAGCCTCTTCATGGATTGGAGTGGTTCCCTCTCCTGGTTTATGTCTCAGGTCCCCTCCTCAAAGGCCAGGAACTCCTTTCTGAGTCCCAGCGCTGAAGCTGGAAATGATCGCGTGGGCGCCGTGAACAGAAGTAGAGCCCTTAAAATGAGGAACAGGATACCCTGTGTGGTCGGCTGAAGCCCCCTCGGGCCGGTCCAGAGTGATGCTCCAGAGATTGATTGATTGAATGAATGAATGAGTGAATGACCAACAGGACTGTAGTGGACTCTGGGTGAGGCCACAGCTGTGGGGACTCAGGCAGAGGCTTTGGGCCCTGAGAGGAGGGGGTTCTGGGGTTCAGTGAATGCCTTCAAACATGGGCAGGTGCCCTTGTAGAAGGGAGTTTGTGGGCTGTGGAGCTGGGGGCAGGCTGTGGGGAGGGGTCAGACTCCAGGTTTATGGGGGGACCCCACGGAAGTGGCTGACTGGGCCTGGGTAGAGGGGTGAGAACCCTCTTCCCACTATCTGGTGAGTTGAGTCCATATGCGGAGGCAGGATTTTTTTTTTCTTGAAACTGGGCCTTGCTCTGTCCTCCAGGCTGAAGTGCAATGGCACAATCATGGCTCAGTGCAGCCTCCACCTCCCAGGCTCAGGTGATTCTCCCACCTCAGCCTCCCTAGTAGCAGCTGGGATTACAGGTGTGCGCCACCATGCCCGGCTAATTTATTGATTTTTTTTTTTTTTGGTAGACACATGGTCTCACTATGTTGTCCAGGCTAGTCTTGAACTCCTGAGCTCAAGTGATCCTCCTGCCTCAGTCTCCCAAAGTGCTGAGATTACAGGTGTGAGCCACCATACCCATCCTTCCTTTCTTTCTTTTCTTTTCTTTTCTTTGACTCCTGATTTTATGATTGAGTTTCTTCTCCATCTGAAGCTGTCTTCCGTGGCTGGGAGCCTGGCCTCACAGGACCAGGTCTTCTAAAGCTGCCTCCCTGCTGCTCGGTATTTGGGATCACCAGGTGCTGGGTCCTCTTCCTTCAGCGGCCACACAGGTCCTGAGTGCCCCTGGGCTTAAAAGAATGGGTACTTTTGGGCTTTTTACAGAGGGGAGCAGGGAGAGGTGAGGCCTGCTGGGCCCTCCCAGGGAGCCTTCCAATTTCCAAGGCCCTTGCAAAGCCCCTGCGTGTCCCTTGTGTCTTTAATCATAAGTCAGCCAGGACCCAAACGACCAGCCCATTCGCAGGTGAGAGAGCTGAGGTCCTCACAGGTCTGGTAGCGAGGAGCTGGGCTGTTCTGATGTGGTCTTGGTGGAGCCTGTTTGCATCCACATCAGTGAGCCTGAGCCCCACCCCCAATGCAGAGTCAAGTGGGCCTGGTGAGTGCCCCACCGCGGGCAGCACACATTCCCTGCCCTTGCCCCGCCCACCTCTTCCTCTTCCCATTCCTACCCTGTACCTAGAGTTGCCCTGGGGCTTTGCTCCTAACCCCTACCTCTTGGAGCCCCCTTCTTGATGGGCACAAAGGAATGTTGCTGATGGAGAGGGGCTTATGTCTCCTCCTTCCCATCCCTGGCTGAATCCAGTAAGGGGTGGCCTGTGTCTGGGCAGGAGGCAGAGAGGTGAGTTAGGTGTGGGCCCTGCCGTGGCCAGTAGGGGAGACGGAGTGGATGCACTTTGACCCCAAACACTCACACTGCAGGCAGGCCAGGCTGTGCTTTTGTGCATTGAAGGGTAAGGAGGGACCGTTACTTTTTACAGATACCCTGTACAAAAATTGAGGGTATCTTTGGGGGAGTTTGTGGACAGATCATTTTCTTATTTAGTCATGCTTTCTGTGTTTTCAAAATTGCCAGCAATGAGGAAGAAAAGCAAAACTTTATTCCCTTTGTGTTTGCTCTGGTAAATTTTCAAGAGCAGTTCTGCTGCTTCTGAATCTTAGAATTGGGTTTGCAGATGAGGTCTGGAGGCTGATGCCAATTTCTGAATTTGACAGGACAACACATGGTGAGGTTCCAGGATGTTGAGGTATTTCAGTACACATTAGCCTCATAGCCTAACAGAATGGCCTGGGACTCAGGTGGATGATGCCCTGTTGGTCGGTGGCAGAGCTTCTTGCTGGCATGTCACCTCTTCCGCTGTGTGTCTGCTGGGATCTGTGGCTCATGGTGGTTGGGAAGCTACCTGGGTCCTGCCTCCTCTTCCCAGATGTGCAGACTGTGTGTGGCCCCCTTGAGTGCTTTCTGCTCTCTGCATAAGAACCTGCACCATTCCCACCTCCCAGGCCTTGCCCTTTGCTGCCCCTTCTTCCTGTAACCCTTCCAGTATGGTCCTATTGTGTGTCTTAGCAAGTACTCAGGCTCTGGCCTGGCGCAGTGGCTCACGCCTGTAATCCTAGGTCTTTAGGAGGCTGAGGCAGGCAGATCGCTTGAAGTCAGGAATTTGAGACTAGCCTGGCCAACATGATGAAACCCCGTCTCTACTAAAAATACAAAAATTAGCTGGGCATGGTGGTGGGTGCCTGTAATCCCAGCTACTCGGGAGGCTGAGGCAGGAGAATCTCTTGAGCCTGGAAGGCGGAGGTTGCAGTGAACCACAATTGCGCTACTGTACTCCAGCTTGCTCTGGGTGACAGAGCAAGACTCTGTCTCAAACAACAACAACAACAACAAAACCAAAGTACTCAGGCCCTTCTTAGACAGTTGACCTCATGGGTTCCCCTTGAGCCCTGGTCTGTGGGTTAGGGATGTGGCCTGCGGGCAATTATGACTTCAGGCTCTGCCTTTTGGACCTGGACATTTGGGCCTGGACCATACTGTAAGGGGAGAACATGGCAGGCACTGCTGGCCCCAGCCCTCTGAGGCCCTCATTATCACCCAGTTTGCCAGGAGGTGAGGGGACTCCTTTGCAGGTGAGCACATTCTTTCTCTGCAAATAGCTACGTGGGGCCCTGCTGGGTGGGGGTGGTGGGCATCTGGCCAGGGCCATTGCCAGGCGTGGGGAGCAGGCAGCCTGAGGCCCAGCCCATGTGTGCACAGGAGAGTGCTCCTTCAGTTAATGACCACCTGCTGAGTGAGGCACCTTGAGCAGCCGTTTGCAGAGGGAGCCCCTGTTCAGTTAACAACAAAGGTCTTTCTTTGGAAACTCTTGGGCCTGGGAGACAAGAGCAGCACAAGCTCTAAAGAGAGTCCCCCCGGCTTGAGTCCCACCTCAATGTTTGGTAGCTGTGTGATTTTGGGCAAGTGCTTCAACCCCTCTGAGCCTTCAGTTTCTCACTTATAAAATGTGGACAGTAAGAGTACTTATCTCAAGGCCGGGCATGGTGGCTCAAGCCTGTAATCCCAGCACTTTGGGAGGCCAAGACGGGCGGATCACGAGGTCAGTAGATTGAGACCATCCTGGCTAACACCGTGAAACCCCGTCTCTACTAAAAAATACAAAAAAAAAAACAAACTAGCAGGGCAAGGTGGCAGGTGCCTGTAGTCCCAGCTACTCGGGAGGCTGAGTCAGGAGAATGGCGTAAACCCCGGAGGCGGAGCTTCCAGCAGGGAGGAAAGCCCCGCCCACCCCCCCCCCGCGGGGGCAAAGAGGGAAAGGGGCGCTCAAAAAAAAAAAAAAAAAAAAAAAAGAGTGCTTATCTCAAAGGCCAGGGATTTAACCTCCAGGTTAAAGGACACTGAAGAGAGGTGACAACAAAATGAATTGGCCGGGCGAGGTGGCTCACGCCTGTAATTCCAGCACATTGGGAGGCCGAGGCGGTGGATCACTTGAGCTCAGGAGTTCGTGACCAGCCCGGCCAACATGGTGAAACCCCATCTCTGCTAAAGATACAAAAAATTAGCCGGGCATGGTAGCTCGTACCTGTAGTCCCAGCTACTTGGGAGGCTGAGGCAGGAGAATCGCTTGAACCTGGGAGGCAGAGGTTGCAGTGAGCCAAGATCACTATACTGCACTCTAGTCTGGGGGGCAAAGCAAGACTCCATCTCAAAAAAAAAAACAAAAAACCATAAAACCTAAAATGTAGTATGTGGTCAGGTGCAGTGGCTCACACCTTTAATCCTAGCACTTTGGGAGGTTGAGGTAGGTGGATCACTTGAGGTCAGGAGTTTGAGACCAGCCTGGACAATGTGGTGAAACTCTGTCTCTATTTTTAAAAATAAACAATTTTAAAACAAGTAAAATTAAATTTTAAAAATGCACTATGTGAGCATACGGTGGGAAAAAAGGTATAAAGCGCATTATTGAGACGGTTGATAAAATTGGGTATGGGCTGTAAAGTATTATGCCAACATTAAATGATCAGATAACTGTTTATCTGAGCCCTTGTTCTTAGGAAATTTGCAAGGCTAAAGGGGCACAGTGTAGGTAACCCACTCTCAAATATTAAAGAGAA